GGCAGGACCGATTGAGCCCAACCCACCTGCTCTGGCTCTCCAGGACTTGGCAAGGTGACCCCAGACAGGCAGGGGGAGAGCTGGCTTCCAGCCAGACAAAGATGAAGGGCTCTGGCGGGGAGGGGTCTCTGGCCTTGAGGAGCCAATGGAGCAAAGCAGGGTTGGATCCAGAGATTACAGCATCAGGGAGGGGACAGGAAGAGTGGAGAAAGAGACATGGACCCAAGACCCCATCCCACAGAATCCTTAGGCAGCTGGAAAAGACAGGAGACAGACAGATGGGCCTGCTGGGAGGGTTTCCTCTCTGGCAGACAGAGGGCAAGGGCGACAGACGAGCCCCACGGATCCACTGAGAGGTTTGAGCCAGACATGTCGATGCCTCTGGGAGATCTGGGTGGCTTTGGGGGCCTGAGAGGCCAAAGGAAGACTGCTATGGGGGGCAGTGCTCTGGTTCTGGGGACGCAGGTGGGGGAGATTTTGTAGCAAGAGGGTCTTAGAGTTCCAACGAGATTGGTAAGGTGGAGCAGAGGAAATAGAGTCCCTTCGCCAAGTCTGAATTCTCTGTTTTCTGCCGGCAGAGAAACACGACTTATCCGACTTTTCCGAGTGGCTCAAGTGGCTGTAAGGAGGCAGGTGGGGGAGGAGGGTTCCCAAGAAAGCGACTCTGTGGTCCTGTCCTTCTCCACTCCAGATTCCACAACCCGAGTTCTCTAAACGCCAGGGCCTCCCGCCTTCCGATGTCACCACACGGTCTCAGTGGCCGCTGACGCAATGGACTTTTTTTTTTTTCAATAGACTTTTTGTCCCTTAAACATGTCCTCCCCATTCCTCACTCAGGCCATGTCCACGGGGGTCTCCCTTCCTCCCAGAATGAACCAACTGGGGAGCAGGAAAGGGAGCCCCACATGAGGAATTGTCTGTGAGGCCCTACCTGAGTCCAAACTCCAACTCCCTCCCTCACCAGCGGAAGCACTTTGAATAAGTCCCACACTGCCGAGCCTCGGTTTCCCTCATCTGTAGGTGGGGCTTCTCTCCCCTCAGCCCTGTACCCCTCACTATCTTTTCTCCTCACCTGTCTCATTCCTTACTGTTCAGGGTGTCATTTGCCTTTCCGAGGGCAGAGCTAGTCGGGGCACTAATTACCAGATCTGCTGCCCTGTGACCTCTCTCCTACGTCCCGTCTTCCCCCTGGCAGCTCCACTGCACTCTCCAGGGCACTGCTCCCTCTAGGGTCCCACAGGTCAAAGATGTATATTGATCACTCGCAGGGACCCAGTCGACAAGCACCCGGGGACAGAGAGCCCTGGGCTTCTGCATTCCAACCTCCCGCAGCCCCTAGTGCAGCACTGAGCAAACCAGCTCATGGACCAGCCAAAGGCTCTGCTGGAGTGACTGCCCATTCTGTCACCTTCTTGGAGGAAGTGTTCAGACCAGAACACGGAAGACGTGACGGTGGCTGGGTGGGGCCCCCTGGGCTGGAGGAGGTGCCGGGCCAGGCTGGCATGGCCCATGGGGACTATGCAACCATGTGGGAGGAGCAGCAGGAGCCCAGATTGGGCATAAGAGTCAGCAGGGATGTGGCTCTGCAGAAAGCAACCCTGCCACTTCTCCCTCCCTGCCAGACTTAGAGAAAGAGAGAGGCACCTACTGGAGACAGAACTGGCGCTCCGCAGCATACAGAACTGGCAAGCTCCGCAGCTGGCTGCTTCATCAGGAAGCAGGGGGAGGAGTCAGGGGCCAGAGAAAATAAAGAGTGGATAGATGTTTCAGCTTTGAAAGAAATCTACCAGACCCATAGCGACTGAAATATGGCAGAGGATGGTCAAGATGGCCCTATCAGCCTGAGGAGTGAATCTGAGCCAATTCTTCAAAGCTTTAGTTGGACGGATCATGTGTGCTTTGATGCCCTCTTGTGGATTTATGTGGTACATGCATAAGGCTTGCAGTGTGGATTTTACCCACACTTTAACCCTTTGCTTTTTTTTCTCTACTTTATTGAGCACCTCCCCGTCCGAACCAGGCACCGGAAATGCCAGAGGCAGCCATGGCATTATGTTAAGAGCACAGTCTGTGAAATCAGGCAGACATGGGGCTGGATCCCAGCTTTGATTTCTACAAGTTTTGTGACACTGAACAAGTTATTTTCAAAGTCTCAGTTTACTTGCTCAGAGAAGGATGATAGCATCGCCCTCATAAAGCTGTTGTGAGGATTGAATGAAATCACATAATAAAACGCTCAGTTCTTAGAGTGTCCAAGTCTGCTCCCGATGTGTGGAATGGCCACTAAGTCTGAGAACAGACACAAATGCATAATAGATGGCTTGTTGACATTTCGTTACAATACATAATGAATACCATCATCTATTTTTAGACCTTACGGCCACCCTGTGTTCACCCCTGCCTTTGATAAGTTTTCGATCTAGACTAGTGGTTCTTTAAGTGTGGTCTGCGGACAAGTAGCATCAGCATAACCTGCGAACCTGTTATGAAATGCAAATTCTTAGACTCTGAATCAGAAACTCAAGGGGTGGGGCCAAGCAATCTGTTTGAACAAGCTCTCCAGGTGATTTTGATGCAAACCCAAGTTTATGAACCACTGATCTCGGGAAAATGACAATGTGTAAACGAGCAATTACAATACAGGTAGGCTTCTCTGAAGAAGTGATATAATGAACAGAGTCTTGAAGGAAGAGCAAGTGTTCACAGGTGGACACCAGCCATGTTAGAGAAGGGATTAGCACTTGCAAAGGCTAGGAATCATGGCAGGAAGGTGAGTGTTGAGGGAACCACAGCAGTTTGGTCTGGCAAACTGGAGAATGTGAGAGGCGATGCTAGGGAAGGAAGGCAGAAGCCATATTATGAAGCCCTTTCAAGTGCCTGAGTTTATCCTATAACTGACCGGAAGCATGAAAGATTCTTAATGGAGAATAATATGACCAAATTTGCATTGTAGAAAAAACATTCTTGCAGCATTGTGGCCTGGAGACAGGAAGATGGGTTGGAAAGCTACTGGAATGATCCAGGTGAGAGCCCATGTGGGCATGAACTCAGGTGGTGGCCATGGGGTGATGAGAAGTGGATGGGTTGAGAGATATTTAGGAAGAGGGGCTCGAGGCTATCTCTGAGGTGCTTTGTTGGCACCTCTGTCAAAGATGGAACAGGTATTGGCGATGGGAGGGCGATGAGTTCGGGACTGGATGTGCGGAATTGGGGGAGCTCGGGAGAATGCTCCAGGCTGGTAGCCAAAGCAGGAGTTAATTATGCCTCTGTGGTTTATCTCCCAACAGTTTTCATTCATTATTCATTCATTTTAGCAGATATTGGGTTCCTCTCATGTGCCAGGAAGGTTATGGGACACAGTAGAATATAAAGTAGCCAGAATCGGCTCTCTGGATTGACATGGCAGTAGGAGAACACCAGTAATAAATAAGTAAATAAATACATAAACAAAAAACCAGGCAGTGGTAGGTGCTATGAAGAAAAGTAAGAGGGACTAAGGAGGAGTGAGGGGGATCTTCAGAGGGGTGGTCAGGAAAGGTCTCTCTGAGAAGATGACACTTGAGCTAAATGATAAGTTGAAGCCAGATGTGCAAAAATAAGAGGAAAGTGCTCCCAGGCAGAAAGAACAGCAAATGCAAAGGCCCTGGGGTAGGAACGAACTTGCCATGATGGAAAAAAAGAAAAATGGAAATCGCCATAGCTGTCCAGCTATGGAAGATGAAGTCAGGAAAGTGGACAGGGCCGGACCGTAGCAGGTGGTAAGTTTTTACTGACTGACAAGGAGGGGCGATACATGTTAAAGTGCTTAATCAGTGATCTCGAGAACCACATGTACTTAAAGGAATGATAAGATGGTATCTGCAAGGAGCAAAGGAAAAATGTCCTAACTGAAGCAATAAGGATTCAGGTTCAATTTCAGGGAAAACTCAGGCTATAACAGCTATGTGATATCAGAACAATTTCTAAAACAGATAATTTGTCAAATGTTTTTGGTTTAAGAATATAGTTAACAGCCAAACTGATGAAAGTACTGGCTGGTCTTGAGGTGGGAATGGAAAGGTGACCTCTTGTCATATAGATGAATGAAGATTTCATTCATCTATAAGAAGAAAGGGAGGGGAAGGAGAGGAGGGCTCCCCCTCCCCTGGCTGGGCGAGGGCTCCCTCTGGGCAGCCGCCCTCTCTATCAGCTCTGCAGACTCTTGAGGCCAGACCAGGCGGGGAGGCCCACAGGCCTGAGCACGCCGAGCCTCACCCATAGGAATGAAGCCAGGACCCAGCCTGGCTGGGAGATGGAGAGACCCAGGCCAAGGCAGAGGGAAGTGAGTCCGATTGGGTAGATGTGGCCCATCCCAGCCCAAATTGCTGCTCCTACGTTCACATGCAGGGTGGCGCGTCGGCTGCTGAGAGCATGAGATATTGAGCCCACAAAGGGGCCTGACCAACCCCCTAGAGAAAAACAGACCACCGGACACATACCTGCCACCCCCAGAATCACAATGCCCCACCCAGAAGAGCAAAAGTGATGGAGGCAGCCTTGTCACCACCTAACCTGCCTGTTTGTGCACCCCGCTCACACCTCCCCTCCAACTGGCTCGCTTCCTGTTTCTCATGGCAGCCAGTGCTCCATTTCCTTCCTCTGAACCTTGTCCTGTGTGTCTAGTTGAGCCTCCCTCCTCTACTTTGGTAGCCATCTCCTTCCCACCTGTAGAGCCGAGCCCGATGCTCCACCCACCCCACCCCACCTTCGAAAGCTTCCCACAATTAACACTGGCCAATATAAACACATGCAGAGAGACACACACCTTACACACACACACACCCAACTTTATCTGCAGCTCACTCAGAAACCTTAACACTTCCTGGCCGTTCAGAAACCCCGGTAAGGCCATCAGTGAAAAACCGGACCCTTGAACCTTCTCCTCTCTCAAGGAGGCATCAGTGACAAACATAAAAGCAGAACTAACCAGGGAGACCAGAAGGAAAGTCCATCTTACTCACTTGATGAAATACACAGCTCCTTCCTGGGTGGAATCCATCTCCCAGCCCTTGGGCAAATCTATGAGGAAGCAAAATCACAAAATCACCCTCTCTTCCTTCTCAGCCCCACAAGCTCGATCTGCACTCAGGAGGGATGGGAGTTGGGAGAACTAGGAAACTTCACAGATCGGCCAGCAGTGTTCGAACCAACCATTTCACCATTTTTTGTCCATTATTCTTACCAGTCTATGTTTCCAGCAAATATTAAGAGAGATAGCAGTGAATGAGACATCTCCCATCGATGAGCAGCGGAGTGACCTAATGAATCATCACCCCACAGGAGAATTCACTCGTTCAGTCAACAAACTTTTATCGAGCATCCACCCTGGGCCAGCCCTGAGGATATAGCAGTGAACACATAGATGGTGCCCCTGGAAGGGTCCTCAGGATCATCCCACAGCCCCCTTACATCACAGCAGCAGAACATGGAGCCAAGGGTGGGTCCCATGCCCCGGGCCTCATAGGTAATTAAGCCCCAGGCCCATGTTATTACCTCCAGAGTCTGCTGCAGTAAACAAGACATCAAGGACTAAGGAAATCAGTCCCAAGACAATAGAGTCTTAAACAAATTTTTAATAGCATCTCTGAAAAAAATTATCCATGGAAATAGCAGATAATCGCAGACCTGCCAAGTGAGGACTGAATAGCTGAGGAAGCTGACCTTGGCCCAGAAGTGCCTGAGCAGGTCCCACCGGTGGGCGACGGCACCGCCGGACAGCTCTGGAGCCTAGCACCTCCAACTCCTTAGAGCGCCTTGTTGGTTCTCGCCTCATCCTGCCCACCCTCCCAGAACAGCCCCCCTGGAAGTGTCCTGTCTCCCCAGCAAACAGGATTCCTCCACCCCATACATGGGTAGAGAAGTCTTTTGAGAAACTCTGAGGGAATCCACTGTTGGAGTTGGGGACTGACAGGACCCTGGGGAAGATCATTCATTTTGGGGTGCAAGACCTCACCAGCTAACATATTGGAAAACAGGTGCAGGTCCTCTTGACAATCAAAGTGTCTCCTTTCTGGTCAGTCCAAATGCCCACCTTGTGTATGAGGTTTTATAAAATATAACTATTTACTGTTGGTCTGAATCTGTCCAGCCATGTTATCAGTTAGGTTCTATAGTGGCAAACCCAGTTTTTATTTATTTATTTTACTCACCCCTATTTATCAAGGGTCTATTTATATAGTTGCTGCTGATGGTGATGCTGCTGCTTCAACACAGCAGGGCAGCCAGCGGGCCTACCTCCCCTCTCAGGACTTGGTCCATAGGAATAATAACACCAGCTACCACTTAGTGAGTTCTTCCTTCCTCTGAGCTACACGTCTCACTGCCTCTAGTGCATTTAATCTGTACAGCAACATTATGTAATAGGCCTCAGCCCAAACATTTTTACAGATAAGGAACTGAGGCCCAGAGAGGTTAATCGACTTGCTTAAGGTCACACAGGAAGCGTCTGAGCCGGGATGTGAGTCTGGTCTGCTGCCTGCAAAGCCAGCATTCTTTCCTGTGTGCTGTTCTATAAATGCTGCTTGTTCCCCTCTGTCCCTGTGGGAGGACATTCCCATTCAGAAGGGTGTGGGTTGGCAACCTTCCAAAGTAGAGGGATCCCCATTGGGTCAGAACCGTAAAAAATCCTGCTACTGTGGTGTGCCTGGGAAAGAGGCCAGCATGGACTATGTCCCCTGCCTTTTCCAGCAACTTCCCTCCACACTGCCCTCTCTGCCTGGGCAACACCAAGCGTTCTTATATTCTTGTCCAGGCGGAGTGCCCGCTGAGACAGCTGCTCTCCCAGGAAGCTTCAGGGGCATCTTAACCCCTTCCCAGTCTTGGATGACCAGTTGGCTGCAGCCAAAAATGAAAGAATTGGCTCACAGGCTTTTATTCATCTTCCAGTCCTACCTAAGGTCACGATGAGATGAATGGACTCAGACTGTGAACGGCTGAAATGCTGAAGAAAACAGCCCTGCCTTAGGGTCCAGAGGCCTCACTTTCCTTCAGAAACACGACAGTGACCATAAAATCAGCAGTCACCTCCACCAACAGTGACTCTCTCCTGTACCCCTTTTGAGCTATACATTTTGAGGTTCGTGATCCTCTCCCCATTCTACAGATGAAGAAGCTGAGTCCTTCCACTTGCTCAAGGCCACACAAATAGAAAGTAGAGCCAAGATGCGAGCTCAGGTCTCTCTGCCCTTAGACCTTAAGCATTTAACCCAGACACCGCTTTACTTGTTAGCTAGCTAAGTGGCCTTGAGCCAAGGACTTCCTCTTCACTTCTCAATTTCCTACCTTTAAAATCAAAGACTAAGACTTCAGGATCCCTGACATCCCTTCCAGCTCTAAAAATACAATGATTCTAGCCTGGAGCCTGGGCAATTCAACACCTTAACCCAGTGTCCAGCAGTGCTGACCACGCCCCACAAGTGACCCAGACTTCTGGAACCACACGCCTGCTCTGCGGTCAGGTAAAGGGCCAGAAGGTCAGTGGGGATGGGTCTGTGGTGGCGTCCTGGAGAGGACAACAGACTGTTTACTCAAAGTGCCCCAGGACTTCTGATTTTTGGCGTCTCCACATCTTTAATCTAGACTGAAATCTTGCCCGTACACATCCCACCTTTCCCTGTGGGTTCCCTGTGGGCGGGGAGTTCCCTGAGGGCCAGCAATGGAGCCTTCTCCATCGTAAGCAATCAGTGTTGGCCCTGCCTCCTTTTCTTTCATTTTCCCCCAACAAGGAATTCCTACTAGTCATGTGGGTCTTTTTAAATTTAACAATTAAAATTTAAAATTCAATTCATCAAGCTAATCACATTCCAATTGCCCAGTAGCTACCCATGGCCACACAACTCATATTGGGCAGCACAGAGAGAGAGAACATTTCCATCGTGGTATAGAGGGGACTGGGATTCTGCCCAGTTCAGGAGATCTCGAGTTGGAGGAGATTTCTACCAGGGCAGGGGATGAGAGGGAAGTGAATTCTTTGTCCTCAAAGATTAGCACCTTAGTCCCAGGTACTAATTATAGAGCTGGAGGTTTGGAAAGAGCTGAGGGTGAGCATCATCCTCCTGCACTATCCTTCAGATGGCGGGCGTAAGCTCAACTGAGTCCATCCATGGGGAAAGGAAAAGTCAGAAACAAAGTCCTACTGCCACCTTAAGGCACGGCTTCCTCTTCGATGGCAAAGGCAGGGACAGACGAGCTCCTTACCTGGGCTGGAGCAGTGTCCACTCTGGATGGGTGATTCTGTCCCAGGGTGCACCCACCTGGTTGACTTTTCTTCATCACTATAGAAGATCAATTAAAAGGTGTCAGGTACAAGAGAGGCCTCCCTGAGCAGGACACCCATCTCCAAATTCCCATCGGCACCTATTGTTCGATCCCACACACGTGAGACGGGAGCATCCACGTTGTCGTTCATTCATTCATTCATTCATTCATTCACATTCGCAGAGCATTTACTAAGCAGATTCTGAGGACTCAGAGAAATAATATCTGATACCTGAATTCATACTGATCAGTAAAACTTGAACATATGGAACTGGAGAGAGCATTGTTTTATAGTACATTGAAGAAAGTTAAAATGAACTTTTCTCGGGGGTGGCTCGTGGTTAGCACGTCTGCTTTACACACAGAAGGTCCTGGGTTCACGCCCCAGGTGGAACCACGGACCATACCCTGGGTGTGCCATACCCCAGGCGTGCCAGGCCCCCCAGGTGCTCCGGGTCCCGGCTGCACGCCGCAAGTTCACGCCCCAGGTGGAACCACGGACCATACCCTGGGGGTGCCATACCCCAGGCGCGCCAGGCCCTCCAGGTGCTCCAGGTCCCGGCTGCACGCCGCAAGTGTGTGAGAGGAGACACCCCACCTTCAGAGATCCAGTTCTTAAGGGGAAACGGCAACATCCATGGGTCAGGGGTGGAAGTGTGTATGTGTGTGTGCGTGTGCGTGTGTGTTGGGGGTGGGGAGAAAATTAAAGAGAAGAAAAAAAAAAGGTAGTTGAGTAATAAAATGTTGTATGTCAACCGTCCTTCAATTTTAAAAAATCAAATAAAAAAGAGTTGCACTACGATGTGCTAGGAAGTAGTCTCTATTACAGATGTGCACAGAGCGTGTTACACCACCTCGGAGGAGGAGGAGGGCACGCTAGCTCGGACGAAGTCGAGGAAGAGGAACAGCCTGAGAACTTCACTAAGGTGAAGTCACATGGGAAGAACAAGGAAGGTCCTTAAGTGGCAGCTTCTCAATGGATGAGAAAGAAGGACGCTGGGTGAACCGACAGTCCTTAGGTGTCTATAGTGCTATAGAGTTTCATTCACAACATTCTTTTACGTTAAGAATTTTACAGATGATGAATCTGAGCTTCAGAGAGATGAAGCAACTGGCCTAGAGTCACACAATCAGTAAGTGATGAAGCCAGGATTCAGACCCAGACCCGTACCCCTAAACCCCGAGCTTTTTCTAATATCCGACTCCCAGCAAGGTGGGCTCCCAGGCAGTACAGATCCTCTGAGCTCTGGCTCTGATGGCAGATGAGCCCATTGACATTTCTCAGCCCGTACCAACCAAGTGACATGATTTTTCCAGAGCCAGGTGTGATCCAGAATGAAGCACCTGACCTTTTCGGCCAATCCATGTACTTGAAGGAGAGGAATCTCGGGTCACCTGTATCATCCAGGCTTAGGGTGGGGTTGGAGGGTGGCCTGGGGCTCAGGACAGGACTCCACCCAATGCTTTTAAGGTATAATTAATACTTGAATTAATATAACAAACGCCACTCAGAAAAGCTCCACTACATTTTTATTGAAGCAAGAAATACAATAAACTGCACATATTTAAAATGTACAATTTAAAATTCTAACATATGTATACCTGTGAAACTACCACAAAAATCAAAATATAAATCCCCCCAAATTCCCTCTGTGCCCTTTTGTAATTCCTCTCTCCCTGCCCTCTGCCATCTCTTGCTATCAACTAACAACTAACCTGCTTCCCGCTACTGTCGATTAGTTCGCATTTTCTAGAGTTTCTAGAGTTTTCTATAAGTGAATTATAGAAGGCAGACTTCTTTGTCTGATTCCTTCACTCCCTCCCTCCCTCCCTCCTTTCCTCTCTTCCTCCATCTTTCCTTCCTTTACTCCCTCTCTTCCTCCCTCCCTCCTTCCTTCCTTCCATGTGGTAGTATGTGTTAATAGTTCATTCCATTGTAAGTGTATCACGGTGTGTCCATCCACTCGCCCATTGGTGGACACTGGGGCTGTTTCCAGTTTGGGGCCATTACAAATAAAGCACCTATGAACATTCATGTCCAAGTCTTTGTGTGGACATAGGCTTTCTTTTGATCTCACTAATTTTTCTACTAAGTTTGGACACCTGCTGCAGGAAGAGATTTCCCAGCGACCCACCCCTCTGATTAGGGCAGGAGAGAAGAAACAAAGTCACTGTTCCGGTGCCCCCAGGACTCTGGAGCCAATTGCACCATCAGAGAGGAGCTCTGGGCTGGGCTTTGGTCCTGGGAGGCAGTGGGAGAGGAGGCTGAGGAAGGGGAAATCCAGCCAGAGCTGAATTGTAAGCGTGGGGGGAAATTCATTCTCATAGCTCCTCTCCAGCCGCCCTGAGACTTTCCAGCCCTTGACTCCTCTCTTCCTCACGATCAATTGGCACCCTCAGCCTTCATGTCTGTCTCAGCCCTGCCTAGACATCAAGGCTAATCACAGGATCAACAGGGTGGGCACAGCCCCACCACGCTCGCAACTTCCTTGTCCCCTCTGCCTTCTGCCGCTCTCCCGCTGTCAGCCCCTGGCCCAGAACAATGCAGTCACAGGCTATCTCCACTCCAGGATGGGCTGATGGGGAAACTGTGGAAAGATTGATGTCACTGCAAATCCACAGTCCCTAAGCTTGGCTGGGCCCTACACACCCCACAGAATCTTCTTCAGGGGCCCAGTCAGTTGCCATTTGCAAAATGTTCTAAGGCAGAGAGGTTCCCAACCTTTTCGGCACCAGGGACCGGTGCTCCTGCGAGAATCTACTGCCTGATGCTCTGAGGTGGAGCTGAGGCGGTGATGCAGGCGCTGGGGAGCGGCTGCAAATACAGATGAAGCTTCACTCGCTAGCCTGCTGCTCACTTCCCGCTGTGCAGCCCAGTTCCTAAAGGGCCACGGTCCGGTACCAGTCCACAGCCCAGGGGTTTGGGATCCCTATCTAAGGTTTTTCCACTAACCTCAAATCTCACGACTGCCTCTCCTTCCCATCCCTCACCCCTTCTCAGTGGATAATCTCATCGCATAATTCAAGAAAAAATAGAAAGCATTAGGCAGGAGCGTCCCCAATGCACCCAACCACCTCAGACTTACCCACGTTCCCACCCATGCGTTCGTACTTGCATCTGTGTGGGAGCAGGGGCGGCCTGCTTCCGCTGAGGCGAATCCCTCTGCCTGGGCTGTAGTGCCCATCCTCTCCCATCTTCCGTAGAATCTTATTCTATTGAGCATCGAAGACTGATTATCTTCGACTTCCTACTCCCTGTCAGGTCTGTCCCATTAGCCCCCATTCCTGTTCATGTCGTTCGCAGCGGCCCCCTCCTCCCTCTCAGGGCCATCTGCCCTTCCAGCTCCTGTCTCATGCTCCTCTTTTTATTGACCAAACATCTGTCTTGGAAACTAATCCCTTCTAGTTGTTCCCACTTCCTGACCTCCCACTCACCAATTCTCTGCAACCTGGTTTCTGTTCCCAGCCCTCCCCGGAAAATACTTTCTGAGAGGTTATTAAAGGACCACCCCCCACCCTTCAGTTCCTCCATCCAGTAGATACTTTCCAATATTAAGCTCGCTTGACCCTTCCCTCCTTCCTAACGGCCCTCTTTCTCGCCTTCTGGGGCAGTACGCTTCCCGGGCTCTTGTGTTGTCTACCTCTATGACTCCTGGGTCTTCTCCATCTGCTCTTCCTCTATCCTTTCTGTCAATGCTGGTGCTACCTAGGTACCCCGCTTTCTTCTCCCTCACATACTTCTGGGTGGTTCCACTTCTATGATGACTC